TGGTAAATGCAGCAGCGAGGAGACGGTTGGAGGCAGTGGAGATGTCCTGTTTAAGGGCAATGTGTGGTGTAAATATTATGCAGAAAATTCGGAGTGTGGAAATTAGGAAAAGGTGTGGAGTTAATAAAAGTATTAGTCAGAGGGCAGAAGAGGGGTTGTTGAGGTGGTTTGGTCATTTAGAGAGAATGGATCAAAGTAGAATGACATGGAAAGCATATAAATCTATAGGGGAAGGAAGGCGGGGTAGGGGTCGTCCTCGAAAGGGTTGGAGAGAGGGGGTAAAGGAGGTTTTGTGGGTAAGGGGCTTGGACTTCCAGCAAGCATGCGTGAGCGTGTTAGATAGGAGTGAATGGAGACGAATGGTACTTGGGACCTGACGATCTGTTGGAGTGTGAGCAGGGTAATATTTAGTGAAGGGATTCAGGGAAACCGGTTATTTTCATATAGTCGGACTTGAGTCCTGGAAATGGGAAGTACAATGCCTGCACTTTAAAGGAGGGGTTTGGGATATTGGCAGTTTGGAGGGATATGTTGTGTATCTTTATATGTGTATGCTTCTAGACTGTTGTATTCTGAGCACCTCTGCAAAAACAGTGATAATGTGCGAGTGTGGTGAAAGTGTTGAATGATGATGAAAGTTTTTTCTTTTTGGGGATTTTCTTTCTTTTTTGGGTCACCCTGCCTCGGTGGGAGACGGCCGACTTGTTGAAAAAAAAAAAAAAAAAAAAATGTAAAGTAAAAGGACACAAGTGCAACTAATGTGACATTTATTGTGGCAACGTTTCGCTCTCCAGGAGCTTTATCAAGCCATGGGCACAGAGGGTATATAAAGGCTCTGAGTGAGGTGCAATACTAGTGAGGTACCATTTCGATGTTCACTAGTGGTAGTAGTAGTAGTAGTAGTAGTAGTAACAAAAATAATACAATATGGTAGAGCAATTAATTCGTACATGAGTAAAAGGATATAAAAGCTATTACTTGGGTAACATAAAAATAGGTTGGACAAATATAGACTGGAAAGAGACAGGTTTTTTCAGTGTTCACTCTCTGTAATGTGCTTTGTGTAGTATAACAGAAGAGACTATGTGATGGCAGGGTTTACTGTTTTCAGGAGGATTCTTGCTAAGACTTCGGAGATGGTGAAGCTGCCGTTGTTTTGTTTAATTGTATTCGAAACAGCGATCAGTGCTGATTCAAGGCACTTGCGTCTGCGGAAATTAGTTTCTTTGATCACTAATTGGGCGTCTCTGAAATTCATGAGATGATAGGTGGAATTTCGGTGTTGTACACAGGCGTTGTTTAAGTTGTCGTTCCTACATGCGTAAATGTGTTCATTGAGGCGGGTGTCGAGGTTTCTTGCTGTTTCACCTACGTAGATCTTGTCACAGCTTCCACAGGGTATAGTGTAAACTCCTGCATTGACTGGTTCGTGGTGCTTGGGTTTTGTCCTGGTTAGATCCTTTATTGAAGTGCTAGAAGCGAGGCAAAAATTTTGCCTCGCATACCGCTCAAAAACCCGCTCACCGCTGTTCGTCTGAGACGCGTCCAATGTGCGCCTTAGCCAGCCTCACATGTTCCGCCGGTGGCATTGTTTACCAGCCAGCCTCCGCGGTAGCATCCAAGCATACAATCGTAACATTTCGTATTATTACAGTGTTTTTGGTGATTTTATCTGGAAAATAAGTGACCATGGGCCCCAAGAAAGCTTCTAGTGCCAACCCTACAGCAATAAGGGTGAGAATTACTATAGAGATGAAGAAAAAGATCATTGATAAGTATGAAAGTGGAGTGCGTGTCTCCGAGCTGGCCAGGTTGTATAATGAACCCCAATCAACCATCGCTACTATTGGTGGTACAGCTGCTGCTGCTGCTGCACTGTCAGCTGCTGCTGCTGCGGTAGCATCGTCTGCTGCTGCTGTAGCATCGTCTGCTGCTGCTGTAGCATCGTCTGCTGCTGCTGTAGCATCGTCTGCTGCTGCTGTAGCACTGTTGTTGGTGTGGCTTATTGAGAATATACCAAGAAACAATTAACCCCCAGAGGATTTTCCACCCAGGATAACCCAAAAAAGTCAGTGTCATCGAAGACTGTCTAACTTATTTCCATTGGGGTCCTTAATCTTGTCTCCCAGGATGCAACCCACACCAGTCGACTAACACCCAGGTGAACAGGGAAAAATGCCTGGAACTAGTGCTCATATTGGTGAATTTAAAGCCAGCAAAGGTTGGTTTGAGAGATTTAAGAATCGTAGTGACATACACAGTGTGATAAGGCCTGTTCTGGAAGAAAATGCCAAACAGGACCTACAGTACTCAGGAGGAAAAGGCACTCCCAGGACACAGTGTCTCATCAGTCATTGCTGCATCTTCAATAAAGGTAAGTGTCATTTATTCTTCATTTAGTAGAGTAGTACATGCACAATATATACTGTGCATGTACTACTCTACTATTGTGCATGTATCCTTCTCTTTGTGTGTAGGAAAATGTATATTTCATGTGGTAAAATTTTTTTTTTCATACTTTTGGGTGTCTTGCACGGATTAATTTGATTTCCATTATTTCTTATGGGGAAAATCCATTCGCATACCGATTATTTCGCATACCAATGAGCCCTCTTGCACGGATTAAAATCGGTATGCGGGGGTCCACTGTATAACTTTGTTGGGAGCGGTGTTGATGCGTGGAGAATTAATGATCTGAAGAGCTCTTTTCTTGCAGTCTTTGATGAAAAAAGAAGGAAAATGTAACTCAGTGAATGTTTGGTGAATGTATGTACATTCCTCATCAAGAAACTCAGGACTACAAATTCGGTATGCTCTTAGGAAAAACCCGATGATGATGCCTCTTTTGGTCTTGGTATCTTGACTGGAATAGAAGTGTGTGAGATCATTTTTATTGGTGGGTTTCCGATAAACTTGAAATCTTAGGTTGTTGTCTACTTTGTGAATGAGGACGTCGAGGAAAGGTAGCTTGTCATTGGACTCTTCTTCTAGTGTGAACTGGATCGCTGGTTCAACTGCGTTGAGCCTTGCCTGAAGATCCCGTACATCAAAACGTTTTGGAGTTATTACGAGGACATCGTCCACGTAACATAACCAAGTGACGCTTGAAAGGATGATGTTGGCGAAGTGTTCAGACTCTAGGTGTTCCATGTATAAGTTGGCTAGGATGGCACTTATGGGGGACCCCATTCCCATGCCGTAGGTTTGTTTGTAGAGCTTGTTATTGAAAGAAAAACAGTTGAAATTAACACAGAGTTCAATCAAGTCAACAAAATCTCCGGGAGGTAGAGAAAGATTAAGGTCCTGATTGACTTTACGTCGTAGAACCTCGATGGCTTTTTTGGTAGGTACTTTGGTGAAGAGGGAAGTCACATCCAAACTGCTTAGTTTCTTGTTACGGATGGAGAGGTTACGGATGCAGTTGAGAAGGTCACCTGAGTGTTTAAGATGAGCGGGGCTGATGGTCCCCAGAAGGCTCCCAACAAAGTTATAATTCTTCCCAACAGCCAGGTTGCACTAAACGTCTCAAAAGTACTTTCACAAGCTAACACCAGAGTCGCCATCGCTTCTAGCACTTCAATAAAGGATCTAACCAGGACAAAACCCAAGCACCACGAACCAGTCAATGCAGGAGTTTACACTATACCCTGTGGAAGCTGTGACAAGATCTACGTAGGTGAAACAGCAAGAAACCTCGACACCCGCCTCAATGAACACATTTACGCATGTAGGAACGATAACTTAAACAACGCCTGTGTACAACACCGAAATTCCACCTATCATCTCATGAATTTCAGAGACGCCCAATTAGTGATCAAAGAAACTAATTTCCGCAGACGCAAGTGCCTTGAATCAGCACTGATCGCTGTTTCGAATACAATTAAACAAAACAACGGCAGCTTCACCATCTCCGAAGTCTTAGCAAGAATCCTCCTGAAAACAGTAAACCCTGCCATCACATAGTCTCTTCTGTTATACTACACAAAGCACATTACAGAGAGTGAACACTGAAAAAAACCTGCCTCTTTCCAGTCTATATTTGTCCAACCTATTTTTATGTTACCCAAGTAATAGCTTTTATATCCTTTTACTCATGTACAAATTAATTGCTCTACCATATTGTATTATTTTTGTTACTACTACTACTACTACTACCACTAGTGAACATCGAAATGGTACCTCACTAGTATTGCACCTCACTCAGAGCCTTTATATACCCTCTGTGTCCATGTATTGTTTGTAATGGCTTGATAAAGCTCCTGGAGAGCGAAACGTTGCCACAATAAATGTCACATTAGTTGCACTTGTGTCCTTTTACTTTACAAACTGGACAAGACCCGGGCCAGGACAGTACTGGTAAACCTCATCCAATCCCCACCTGTTCTGTGGTCTGTCTGCAATCACATTATTATGACTTCGTGAGTCAGTCTACCGGAAGCAAACAGGCATGCCCAAAAGCTGGAGCTCATCCCCCTCAAACTCCAATAGCCAAATTCTTTTTTTAATTCTTGATGAAAGTTAAAATATAAATTTATTAAAATTTGTATCTTAAACATTCATCACTATGGTTCCTTCTGCTCACTACTCTAGTGGAAGCCTTATTCAATTATCTTAAAATTCAACTGCAGCCTTTGAGTATAATGGACAGAATTACATTAGTAGTGCATTTCACAAGACACTAAACCCATGCAAGTAATGGTGGAGGTTCAATCCTTTGCCCTTTAATCCCAGCCTAGTCTCTGAGCCAAATGATTTTGAATGCTGAAAATTACAAAGCTTAGAAAATATTCAACTTGAGTCAGCTTGCTTTAAGCACCTGAATCAGCCTGTCTTAAGCACCTGAATCAGCCTGTTTTAAGCACCTGAATCAGCCTGCTTTAAGTACCAGAATCAGCCTGCTTGAAGCACATGAATCAGCCTATTGTAAACACCTGAATCAACCTGTTTGAAGCACCTAAAATACTCAAACTACCAACACAACACTATTGTGAGTAACTCACCAATTAAAGCTTCAATATCAAAGAAGAGGACGTGAGAGTTGGCATCCTGTTTATTTGTACGGAGTCCTTGAATCATGAGTGGACACGTCCTCATTTTGGAGCTGTCATGGATGTCCTGCTGGTTGTTTTGCTCTCCCAACACCTGCTGGATCCCCCGCTGAAAAACATAACATAGAGCTGGATTAAGATTTTGTAGGCCCCAAGGCTACAGGTACTGTGAGGGGCCACAGTGATATTTTCAAAGGGAAAAAATTAATTACAACAGTCAACAGTTCATCATATATGTGATGTTGGGTCACCCTGCTTCAGTGAGAGACGGCCGGTGTGTTGAAAAAAGAAAAATACAAGTTTACAGCAATAACTGTGAATACTTTTCATTTAATCTTTAGAGGCTGCAGCCCTTGATGCCCGTGCCTTGATCCAGGCCTGACAGAACCCCATTTTTTCACACCACAATAACAAAGACAACAAAAAATGGAGATAAATGGCATAAATACCAAACAATGGAAAAATATAGATGCAACACAATGTGACTGCTACTGATGTCATTTCATCAATGAGCAACAAAGAGCCCACTTCTCAATCCTATTTTTGCCTGACCTGTTTCTAAAGCCACCCAAGGATTTTGTTTCAAAACAACACACCTAACTTGACTTTTCATGTCACTATGCTCCTTATATAAAGGGAGCTTCCTACATATAGGCAGCTTATATTTTGTCAATAAGGATCTTATATTGCATCACTCTCTCCACATGCTTGAATAAAAGTGTCATGAACACTGGATTAACCCTTAAACTGTCCAAACATAGATCTATGTTCACTCACGTAGCAATCTGAACATATATCTACTTTTTTTTACACAAGAAAGCACGTAAATTTGAATGTAGATCTAAATTCGGAGCGCTACGCGAGTGAACATAGATCTACGTTTGGTCGCTTTAAGGGTTAAAGGCGAGAACTCACTTAAAATGAAAAATGAAATACAGATACAAAGAAATCTGTAGATTTAGGCCTTGTCCAGAGACCCCCTAATCTACTGAAGAAGATCTCAAACTGAGGCTGAAATATACAGCTCTCTCTTACTTGCATTTTATTCTTCAGTTCCAGTTGGATTTTTTCAAATTTTACAATAGAAGAAAAGGAATGGCAAAATCTACAGTCAAAGACTAGAATATTTCTGAAGTTATCCTACACAAGATGGCTCAGGTAAAGTGTAAAGATAGTTTATATTGTAGCTAATGGAAGAAATCACAATACAGCCTCAACTCACTTAGCGACGTACTTGTTTACCAATGACAAGGACTTACGATGGGCTCTCTGACCAGTATGCATACCTAAATAATGTATATTAGAGCTGATTTTCCTCTACTCTGTTTATTACAATATACAGTACACTTCTGTATAAACATTTAAAAAATATACTAAAAATGTTATAAATGGTGCAAGGATGACATTAAAACAATATCAAAGATGGTTGACATTAACCCACTACCATTAAAGTATACTCCTTGTTTAGTGACGAATTCGTTTACTTACGCTGTATTAGCAATGGAACTCTGTCATTAAGTGAGGAGAGGCTGTAATCGTGTGATTGCAAATACAGTAGAACCCCAGTAACTGTGGATTCAGTTTCTTTAGTTTCAGTTATCCACGGTTTATTGTCACCTGAAAATAACCATTAATTTTTCTTAATGACACCAAAGTGTAAAAGTAGTGATGATGACAGTTCTTCAGAGCCTAAGAAAAGTGCTTCTCATCAGTAAAGAAGTGATAATTCTCATCTTATTGTTCATAATTTATCAATTAAACTTTATCACAGGTATGTAAATGAAAAATGACTTATATATATATAGAGTTTGCTACTAATCGCGGTTTCAGATATCCACGGTAGGTCTTGGGCTGTATCACCCGTGGATACAGGGGGACTACTGTAAATAAAAATATCACAGTGAAAACAGGAAAAAACACTTGAGCACTTTCATGTGCTTACACACACATCGTCAGAAGAATAGGTGTTCCTCTAAAAAAGTGTGTTTAAGCACATGAAAGCACTCAGGTGTTTTCTTTGTGGTATTTTTATTTTTTAACACATCGGTCATATCTCTACATCATAGGTAATATGAAAATACAAAAGAAAAGCAAATCGGCAGAAAAGCCTCTTCAAAATAAGGTTTCAAGAGGTTACCTGTGCTGCATGTCTAATGGCAGCCAAGTTTCGATGCCTGAGACCTCTGAAGAGGTGAACAGCAGGGTTGGCAAGCCCAGCTTCCGAGCTTGCACCGCCACTACCACTGCCAGAGGCTGTCAAGTGCTCATCACAAGCTCCCAAGACCTCTTCCGCTGTCACACCTTGGAGGACGCGATCCAGATGACCTATTCAAAAATCCTGATAAGTCTTTGCTTCTATTCTTGCTTCTTGAGGGTAAACTCCATCTCACAGCTCACCTTCTCAGTTCTCATCAACACAAACACAAACACACACACATACACATGATGGAAGAGATGGAAGGGAAGGGATAGACTCAAAAGTGTCCCTGTTTGCAGATGATGTGAAGTTAATGAGAATTAAATCAGATGAGGATCAGGCAGGACCACAAAGAGACCTGGAGAGACTGGACATGTGGTCCAGCAACTGGCTTCTCGATTTCAACCCTGCCAAATGCAAAGTCATGAAGATTGGGGAAGGACAATGAAGACCATAGACGGAGTATGGGCTAGGTGGCCAAAGACTGCAAACCTCACTCAAAGAGAAAGATCTTAGGGTGAGCATAACACCGAGCATGTCTCCGAAAGCACACATCAACTAGATAACTGCTGCAGCATATGGGCGCCTGGTAAACCTGAGAATAGCGTTTCGTTACCTTAGTAAGGAATCGTTCAAGACACTGTACACTGTGTACGTCAGGCCCATACTGGAGTATGCAGCACCAGTTTGGAACCCACACCTGGTCAAACATGTCAAGAAATTAGAGAAAGTGCAAAGGTTTGCAACAAGGTTAGTTCTGGAGCTCAGGGGAATGTCCAACGAAGAAAGGTCGAGGGAAATCGGCCTGACAATGCTGGAGGACTGGAGAGTCGGGGGAGACATGACAACGACATACAAAATACTGCGTGGAATAGATAAGGTGGATAGAGACAGGATGTTCCAGAGAGGGAACACAGAAACAAGGGGTCACAACTGGAAGCTGAAGAATCAGATGAGTCAAAAGGATGTTAGGAAGTACTTCTTCAGTCATAGAGTTGTCAGGAAGTGGAATAGTCTAGCAAGTGATGTAGTGGAGGCAGAAGCCATACATAGCTTTAAGACAAGGTATGACAAAGCTCAGAGAGAGAGATAGAGAGATAGAGAGAGAGGGAGAGAGAGAGAGAGAGAGAGAGATAAAGAGAGATAGAGAGAGAGATAGAGATGAACTGATGAACTTATTCCACCTCTAAATCGACAGGATGGGACCACCTCTACTAGTAGTCAAGAGAAGGCGGACCTCTTTGCTGAACACTTTGCTACCAAAATGCAAGTTCCTGATCCAGCAAGGGACCCTCCTTGGCTAGCTGCAAGAACTGTGTCAAAACTGTCAGTGGTGATAATAAGGCAGGAGGAGGTGCATTTCCTTCTTAAATCGCTTGACCAAGAAAAGGCTGTGGGCCCAGACAAGTTGAGCCCAAGATTGTTGAGAAGATGTGCAGACCAGCTAGCAGCACCTCTAACTCGCATCTTTCAGCACTGCCTAGTACAGTGTAAATGGCCCTCTCTATGGAAAGAGGCAAATGTAGTCCCTGTTCACAAAAAGAAGAGCAGAGCAGAAATCAGCAACTACAGACCAGTGTCACTCCTGTCAATCACTGGTAAGATCCTTGAGACAATAATCTCAAGACAAATGACAGTTTTTTGACTACCACTCACTACTTTGTGATCGTCAATATGGCTTCAGGAAAGGTTACTCTGCTGCTGATCTGTTGTTAAACCTCTCCACTAAGTGGCACCAGTCACTGGATGAATCCAAAGTCAGCTGTGTGGTAGCACTGGACATTGCTGGCGCTTTCGACCGGGTGTGGCACCAGGGCCTCTTAGCAAAACTTCAAGCACTGGGAATTGCAGGCTCTACGCTATGTCTCCTCAGTGATTACCTTCATGGTAGATCTCTAAGTGTAGTTCTCAATGGAACGGAATCAGCAAGACATCCTATTGGGGCAAGTGTTCCACAAGGAAGCGTGCTGGGTCCATTGTTATGGAATGTCTACTTCAACGACCTTCTTCATCTCATCCCAGAATCACATGCATATGCAGACGACTGTACACTGACATTCACTTATCCAAGAGAAGAAATGCCAGCTGCTCTAAGCTACATCAATCACCAGCTGAGAGCTATATCAGCTTGGGGAAATAGATGGCAAGTAACATTTGCACCTGAGAAAACGCAAATGATGATCGTCTCTAGGCACCATGATGGTAATGCTGGTGCAGTAGTAAGGATGAATGGGAGGATGTTGGCACCTGGAGAAGAAGTTGATATCCTTGGGGTGAAATTTGACTCCAAACTAACCATGAAGAACCATGTTGTAAATCTTGCAAACAAGGCAGCCAGGAAGCTTACAGCACTTCGCCGTATCTCGCATCTGCTTGACAGTAGGGGTTGCAAGATCCTGTACGAGGCACAAGTACGCTCACACCTTGAGTATGCTCCACTTTCTTGGTTTGCCTGCCCCCCCTCTCATCTGCGACTCCTTGACAGAGTAGAGAACAGAGCAAGACGTCTCATCTCTCGCCTGGACCCATCCTGGATAGATCTGTCATTTCAGCAGAGCCTTCAACATAGGAGGGATGTGGGTGGCCTTACTGTTATGTACAAGGCCAATATTGTCAAAATACCACACTTGGATCCACTTCGAGGACAGCGTGAAACAAGCTTTTATGCCACAAGACGGGCAGAAAGCAGCAACTTCACTCTGGCTGTACCCTTCTCCAGAACATCACTCCATCTGAGATCATACATACCCAGGATGACTCGAGTATGGAACACATTCGTACAGCATAACGATGTCAACGAGATAAAGTCAGTTGATCAAATGAAAATGCTGGCCCACAGATGGCTCCAACTTCATCCTGTTCCCTACTTGTATGTCTCATAACAATAAAAATGCTTTCAAATGAGCTGATGTAGGTAACAGCTCTTAGCTTGCCAATAAAGTTAGGAATCCTTAACCTGTAAATAGCTGTCAATAAAGCTAGGGATCCTTAACCTTGTCAAACCCTGTGTAAAAAAGAGAGAGATAGATAGATAGAGAGAGATAGATATATATATCATAGGTAGTAGGTTGGTAGACAGCAACCACCCAGGGAGGTACTACCGTCCTGCCAAGTGAGTGTAAAACGAAAGCCTGTAATTGTTTTACATGATGGTAGGATTGCTGGTGTCTTTTGTCTGACTCATAAATATGCAAGATTACAAGCATGTCTTGCTACTTCTACTTACACTTAGGTCACACTACACATAAATGTACACGTTTATTTGTACGCACTCATCGGAGTTTTCTTTGATTTTATCTTAATAGTTCTTGGTCTTATTACTTTTCCTTTTATATCCATGGGGAAGTAGAATAAGAATCTTTCCTCTGTAAGCCATGCATGTTGTAAAAGTCAATTAAAATGCCGGGAACAATGGGCTAGTAACCCCTTTTCCTGTAAAGATTACTAAAAAGAATAAGAAGAAGAAAATTGTCAAAGTGGGAAGTCCGAATGTGCGAGGATGTTGTGCAAATGATAAGAAAGAGATTGTTGTGGATGTTATGAATGAGAAGAAACTGGATGTCCTGGCTTTAAGTGAAACAAAGCTGAAGGGGGTGGGAGAGTTTCAATGGAGAGGAATAAATGGGATTAGGTCAGGGGTTTCAAACAGAGTTAGAGCTAAAGAAGGAGTAGCAATAATGTTGAAGGATAAGCTAGGGCAGGAAAAGAGGGAATACAAATGTATAAATTCAAGGATTACGTGGAGTAAAATAAAGATTGGATGTGAAAAGTGGGTTATATTAAGTGTGTATGCACCTGGAGAAGAGAGAAGTGTAGAGGAGAGAGAGAGATTCTGGGAAATGTTGAGTGAATGCGTGGGGAGTTTTGAATCAAGTGTGAGAGTAATGGTGGTTGGGGATTTCAATGCTAAAGTGGGTAAAAATGTTATAGAGGGATAGTAGGTAAATTTGGGGTGCCAGGGGTAAATGTAAATGGGGAGCCTTTAATTGAGCTATGTGTAGAAAGAAATTTGGTAATAAGTAATACATATTTTATGAAAAAGAGGATAAATAAATATACAAGGTATGATGTAGCACGTAATGAAAGTAGTTTGTTAGATTATGTATTGGTGGATAAAAGGTTGATGGGTAGGCTCCAGGATGTACATGTTTATAGAGGGGCAACTGATATATCGGATCATTATTTAGTTGTAGCTACAGTTAGAGTAAGAGGTAGATGGGAAAAGAGGAAAGTGGCAACAACAAGTAAGAGGGAGGTGAAAGTGTATAAACTAAGGGAGGAGGAAGTTCGGGTGAGATATAAGCGACTATTGGCAGAAAGGTGGGCTAGTGCAAAGATGAGTAGTGGGGGGGGGGGGGTGAAGAGGGTTGGAATAGTTTTAAAAATGCAGTATTAGAATGTGGGGCAGAAGTTTGTGGTTATAGGAGGGTGGGGGCAGGAGGAAGGAGGAGTGATTGGTGGAATGATGAAGTAAAGGGTGTGATAAAAGAGAAAAAGGTAGCTTACGAGAGGTTTTTACAAAGCAGAAGTGTTATAAGAAGAGCAGAGTATATGGAGAGTAAAAGAAAGGTGAAGAGAGTGGTGAGAGAGTGCAAAAGGAGAGCAGATGATAGTGGGAGAGGCACTGTCAAGAAATTTTAATGAAAATAAGAAAAAATTTTGGAGTGAGTTAAACAAGTTAAGAAAGCCTAGGGAAAGTATGGATTTGTCAGTTAAAAACAGAGTAGGGGAGTTAGTGATGGGGAGATGGAGGTATTAGGTAGATGGCGAGAAATATTTGAGGAACTTTTAAATGTTGAGGAAAAAAGGGAGGCGGTAATTTCATGCACTGGCCAGGGAGGTATACCATCTTTTAGGAGTGAAGAAGAGCAGAATGTAAGTGTGGTGGAGGTACGTGAGGCATTACGTAGAATGAAAGGGGTAAAGCAGCTGGAACTGATGGGATCATGACAGAAATGTTAAAAGCAGGGGGGATATAGTGTTGGAGTGGTTGGTACTTTTGTTTAATAAATGTATGAAAGAGGGGAAGGTACCTAGGGATTGGCGGAGAACATGTATAGTCCCTTTATATAAATGGAAAGGGGACAAAAGAGATTGTAAAAATTATAGAGGAATAAGTTTACTGAGT